ACCGAGAGCCGCCATTGTTCCCGGTTTGAGCCTGGCAGGGAACTTTGTTACATCTCTCTCCTCCTCATTTCCTCTTATCTCTCTGTGTGTAATAAAGCCATATAATGACACCCTCAGTTATGATGAGTTTCGTTTTTATATTGTTGGAAAACTGTCATGCTGACCTTAGTTTGATGTTGCATGAGTCACCATTGTGACATTGCAATGTCAGGGTTTATATAAAATAATTTACCACACAAATTTCAAGGGACATTGGTCTCGAATGCATGGCACAGAATATATGACTCCTCTATACATTTATTTTATTATTATTATATTATTTTAACATCGCTAGCCATCAAGTTGTGCATTTGTGACATTGCAAAGAAGAAGTGCAATACCATTTGTTATCACACACAAGCTAATGTGATGCCTGCATGCTTCCTTCATTCATGTTTCTCTGACGTTTAAAACTTGTCTTTTATATTTCGCTTTTGAATGCAGCGAATCATTCAATCTGCCACTGTGGTCAGGGTTTTGCTGACTCAACAGGAGGGAGGGGTTCTCAGTGTTCTTTATAAGGCCATTAAGAAAATGCTCCCTGGAACACCGGCTGAATAAGCCCCGTGGCTTTGACTTCCACTAATCATCTTAAGCAAAGCATGGCTCCCAATGTGCCTGTGTTGGAACACCTGTACTGGGCCACAGCAAAGGCATGGTGGTTATCATCACCATAATCTGTCTCATCATTATCGTGCAATACTCGGAAATAAGTAAGCTCATTATGTATAAACTAGATGGTAATGTAAGGGAATGCAAAGAAAGTCCAAGGACAATTTTTTAAAGTAAAGAATTTAAAATTAAGTCTACAACTGTTTATCTTTATCATTTGAATCAGTGCAGAGGACTTAGTTGCAAATACGCTTCATTAGGGGGAAAAAACAGCAACGGAGATAAGACACACATAATGCATGCAAAACTATGGTTAGAATATGCATTTGCATGAAATAACATTTGCATTAAACTGCATTATTAAAGCATTTGGGTAAGTGTAAGCTATGGACACATGCACTGCATGGCTACACAAACAGCTTATACCTTTTTTCCTCTATTTTAGGCTTTTGAAATATTTCATATGCTTCTTTTATTTATTTTATGTTAACATTAACCTGATAAATTCTTATTACCAACTATATAAACTCCATTAAAGACCATGAAAGGCTGTTAACAGCAAGTGAGAAAGCAGGAAAAGGCTTGGAGTTTAGATTAAACAAATAAGAAAAAAAACACTTTATTGACCCTCAGTGCAACAGAGCCATGGAAATATGAATATCTACAATTACATCAAAGCTATGAAGATAAATAAATACTGGCAAAGTATACAGTAAATAGAGAAAAAACTATATAATAAACAGAAGACAAGAAACCCATATATACAATGGATCTTGTGTAGTAATATTAGTTTCTTCATTTTCCTGATATATTCAAAAAACAGTCCACTCAGAACCACCAGCACCTCCTATGTCCATAATATAACCATGTGTTTTCACGACCTTATAAGTAAAAAACAAAAACAAAAAAAAATAACTTCTGTGCAGCTCTTCACACACTAATCTCAGTCCAGGTGCCGGGTTCTTGTTGCCAGGACAACGCGGCTTCCCCATTGGTCCGCCCGGCACCACGTGACGAGCAGACTTTGACGTCACGCCGAGAAGCTGCAGGGCTAAGCAGAGTCTGTGCAGCGGCTCTCGGGAAACAGCTTGGTAGAGTTTGGACTGAGAGCAGCCGGCAAAAAACTAACTCCTGCTCCTGCGAGGCTTCCTGCAACCTGTTGCTCCCCACGTCGTCTGCCTCTGAAACTTTGCACCGTTCGCCCCGGTAATGGACTATTAGAGAGACTTTTAACAGCCCCCACTTCCACAGCAACTTTAAAGCGAGGTAAGTTGTTGCCAGTTTTGAGGTCCGTACCTCTCTCGCAGTTTGTCTGCTTCCTGTTACTTTCTTTTTATTCATTTTTTTTGCTTTTCTTTTTTGTTGTTGCTTTCTAGCTCAGGTGAGATGAGTTTACAGGTTGAAGCAGTTTTACCTTACAGCTAGAAAACTCTCACTCACACTCTTGATTCGCCTGTGTAATATCACAGGAACAAGGTTTTTTTTCTTCCACAACTTTGCAGTGCAGCAGCTTCACAAGACCCGAGCAGCGGATAAAGCTTTACCTAGATTTCTAATCGGATGAGCCCTGCAGGAACTCCCCGGAGGAGCCAGAGATGCGTTTTGCTGCCTTTTACATACTCCCATATTTTATTGTTGCAGTGAGTGAGGACAGGAAGTGAAAAAGGAGTCCTGCCACCACCACACAAGGCTGAATGAGGCAGGGTATCTCATTTCAGCAAATACACATCAGTCAGTCAGTGGATTAGAGCAGGAGAAAGGAAGTAGCATTATTGGACTGGTGGTACTTTACCTTGACAGGTGAGCTGAAATGTTTGTTTTACTGTGAATGAATGTCTTTGCTAGAGAGTGTGTGTGTGTGTGATACTGGTCCTCATTATACAGCCGGTGTACAGTAACAGAGCTTTCACTTTAATGAGCTGGCAGTCTTGGGAGCTTCAGTGCATTGGTAGTTATCAAAAATTCAGCAACAGACGACTTAAAGTAAGTAAACAGATCAATGATGAAAAGATCAAATGGCCAGAATTGTCAGCAGTTTTGGTCCGATATTAATCTGAGTCGTTGCAGCATCTTGAATGTGAGGATTTGTAAGTTTTCCTGGTGTTTAGGGCTACAAGTAACAGTTATTTTTATTATCAGTTAATCGGTCAATTACTTACCGGTCAAGTAGATCATAAAATACCTTTTATTTAATTCATTCCAGTCATTTAAAATGTCAGAAAATAGGGAATACAATGTACATACAATATCAAACAAGCAGTATTGAAGCAATTAGTCGGTTAATCCATCCAACAATTTTGATAATAGACAAATCATTTATCAAGTTAAAAAAAGCCAAACACTCACTTGTTCCAGCTTCTCAAATGTAAGGAGTTATTGCTGCCCTCCTGTTTTACTGTAAAGACAAATAATCAATAATGAACATCGTCATTAATTGCCACCCTACATGTAATTGCTTGGCCAGTGGACCATATTGGTGTCCGGTTCCCACCAGACAATCGAGCAGCTAAAGTCGGACTGAGGATGAAATGGACCGGAGACAAGATTGCTGCCTTTTTCAAAGTGGCTTGTAGAGTTAAGAGACCTCGCCGGCCTTGTGCAAATGTACTTGTTGTGTCTGGTGGTAATTGAATGCCAGTGGTTTGGTTGTTTGTGTGGGATGTAAACAACGACCTGTCACGGCTGAGTTTCTTCTGGTGGTCCCTGTGAAGTGTTCATGAAGTGATCAGAAATGACTGAGTTGAAATGATACGAGTGGACACAGAAGGAGAAAATGAAATGCTACAGTTACAAGAGTAGCTCGAATATATTGACACACAGACTCTGCAATGGCATCTACTATCTTTTTTTAGGCTCTGTTGCTTCCAAACTCTCGATATGCTTTTAGGAAATTTCGACCCGAAACTGAAGTGAAATACAGCTCCACCTCCTCACCTCAGGCAGCCAACACAACATGGCAAGAAAATTTAAAGACCTGTGGAGGTGCTGACACGAGGGTGGAGTCGAGATAATAGCCCCCTCGGTGTCAAAAGCATCCCTGCAAACATTTCAAGATGCTGAACTCTTTACAAATGCATGCTAAATTTGAACAGATGTTCTATTTTAGTCGGTGTGGGTGTCTTGCGGGCTTGTTTTGGGCCAGAATGACCACGCTGGCAGCATCCTCTGTAGTTATACTCATCCGGGCTGCAGTCGGTGCTCTTTTGAATTGAATTAGCCCTTTTTTTTTTTTTCTTTTTAAAAGGAAGTGGACAGGGAGAGTGATTGGGAGAAAGCAAGGACGATGAGTGGAGGATTAAACTGAAGAAGCAAGAGAGAGCTTCAGATGCTGGGATATCAAAAGAGACAAAAAAAAGCGAGTTTGGGCCTGTCACACAGATAATATTTTAGACAGCCAAATTTCACACACGCTGTGCAGCAGTTATCACTTGTGGGGG